CTGTCAGCAGCTTCAACGCATATTCTAAACAGCCCTTCATCCCATAAGGATCAAAGTCTTTTTCTAACACACCTGTCATGTTTTTCACTGTGTAGCACTTTATCTGTTAAAAACAGTTGCAAGCTTCAGATATTTTACAGGTAAATATTTGTATTCAAGTTGTCATTGAGTTTTCACACTATTTTAGCTTTGGGTTTACACAAAAGTACTGTTATAAGTCAACGTATTCAAACGTGGGCACCTGGCTGTAGGTTTTACCCCATTTCATGAATATTCTTAAGTAAATGCTTCTCTGGCAGTGTTACTCAACGTGCTTATTTCTTAACAGATACTAGATTACCAAGCTCTTTTAGTGTATTTTACTCTAAAGCACTGAATTTTTAATAAACCTGCAATTTTTCTTTTTAGTCTCACAGCAACATTAGTTTAAAATGTTTTTTTTTAACTGTTTACTTCCAGAAATTCGCTATTTTACAGTTACTCATAGAACCAAGTGGTGAAAAGAAAAAGAAAATTGATGATGTGTCAGGATTAATAAGTCTTTCTTCAGAAAAACTGTTATTACTCCTGTCCTCCTGTCTCATCCTCTATTTAAAATTAAATAGGAAGATGTATTTTTAGGTGGTAACTTAAACAGAAAAGTTTCTTTTTCCTGATAAGTTTACTCTTATTTAGTGATTTTGCAATTAAACGTGTATTATCTTTCAAGCAAATGAGTAACTTTTCAACTCTGTGAATAGTTGAACAGTATCTTTTAAAAAGTTTCTAATTTTTCATTTTGTACCTCCTGTTTGAGGAATTCAGTGAATGGAAAATGTCCTGGTAAATGCCTTTCTGCATAAATACCTTAATTACTTTTTAAATGCAAGATAACAGTGATTATTCAGCTTTGAAGAAGTTTGTTAACTCAAAGTTCGTCTTACAGAAATAAAGAAAAACGTTTAATTTCACTCAAAAACCTAAAACTGAAGTGAAACTGTGATCTCAAGTTTCCCAGGAGGGGGCAGTGTTTAGCTTTCTACCAGCAGGAGTCTATGACGACTTCCTGTGACGTTCGGTTGATATCCTGTTGTTAGCCGCTTAGCTTAAAGTTAGCTTCGGCTAAACTCGGTTAAAATCAACATTTCTGAACGGTTGAAGCGTAAACGTGGCGTTTTTTCAACAAGCACGACTTTGTAGCATGAAACATGAGTTTTCAGGGACATGTGGCAAGTTACATTTAGTGATTTTAAGCACAGCGAAGGCTCCGGTTGCACCCGAGCTCATTTCCGACATGGAGGAAGTGACGTAACACGTCACTCATCCGGTCGTTAGCTGTTAGCTTAAAATTAGCATCGCTAGCGTTGTTCAAAAACATCATTTAATGACGGATTTTAAACTCAGACGTGGCAAAAATCCAGCAATTACACTTTGAAGAACTTAAGCAGCGTATCAGAATACAGCTTTTAAGCGCTTTTCAGCTTTAAAAAGCAGATTTTATTCCCTATGAAAAACGAGTTTTCATTTCCGGGTCACTGACTGACACGTCTCTCAGCCAATGAGAGCGTTCCACGGCCGCTAATTCAACCAATCACGCAGCGTTTTCCCCAGCTAGCATGTTAGATTTATCTGAACAAGTCCGTCAACTTTTTCGTCTTTTAAACTGTCAAAATGCACTTTTTTCTGTTACAAGTGTCACGAATCAAGCTCTGAGCTGCACGGAGTCGGCGCCCCGGCATGAAAAACGTCTTTCCCACCATTTAAAACAAACTCGTTCGAACCTTTTCAGAACCGAGCCGGTACCAGAACCACGTCTGAACCGTCTTTAAACAGAATAAAGCGTTTCCACACAAACCCAGCTTTAGTTACACATAACAGACGTACAATTTCAGCTTTCATAAAGACATATGACTCACAATTTCAGCTTCAAAACATTGCCAGCGTAAACATGCAGCGTCTAGCTCCAAGCGCGCAGCTTCAGCACGCTGCAGTCTGCTATTTCTCCATGCCAACATGAAATATCAATTATTACACGCATACACAGTCCATTTATGAGCACGTTACGGGCCACCAAATGTAGTATGACATATCCTGAGATATATTCATACATTAAACGGGTTCACTCATCTTTCTGGACTGGATGATGCCGTGCTTTGAATTTAACAGAAATGTGGACGTGAGACGTTAATTATCTTTGACTCACCAAGCGAGTGGGTCATTTATTAACAGAATCAAGTTTAACACATCACACATTTACATTAATTTGGCAGAATATGAAAACAACAACA